TTAGATTCATTAGATGCTCTATGACAGGCCAAGCACTAGGTTCTTCTGGGCAGCGAAAATACCGTCCGTAACTTGACCGTTTGCCAAGGACCCCAGAGAGAAGCTGGCTCTATCCAGCTGAGAGCCCAGTTTCCTTCGAGGCTCAGTTTCTTAGTTGTGCCCTTTAAAACTGCACATTAGTTGCCTTTCACAGCTGGGCTCCAACCCTCTTGGAGAGCCCAGAGCATGCAAGAGCTGCAATCTGTTTTGTGGTTCGCATCACAGGTCCACCATTCAAGGAGTTCTACAGAAAATTACATATCTTAAGGATTTTAACAGCACTGGGATTTCAGTATTGTGATCTGTGCCATTGTGTGACACAGCCCCACTTTCAAAGAGGTTCAGAGCAGAGGAGACAAGATGTCAACCGGTAGCAGTGTCACTGAGCGCCCCACAGCCTCCAACGGCACGTAGCCCGAGCCGGTTGGTGCAGAAAGATTGGGATGACATATGCCTCACAAACTCCTTTTGGATCAAAGTGCACACTTGGGCCTTGGGAAATTTGAGATACCCCTGTGCCTTTTGCTCATGTTTTAATGCTTTGTTTCTCTCATTTAGAGACTTACAATTGGGTTTTAGTCGCGGTTTTGACCTGCCACACTTTGTATAGTAAATAAGCACCAAAAAACACACACAGATATATATATATATATAAAGCCATGCTCCTCGTAGACCGTAGATCAACGCTTGCGGCACGACCCTGGGTCTTTCCACTCTCTGTCCCGAGGCCTCCTTCAAGCAAGCCGTGGCCACTGGCTTGCTATGCAGACCGAAAGGAGGCTGCTATGCAATGTCTTTTGATTCAAAGCGCCTGTTTGGCCAACGTAGGCCGATGTGATTTGATGTGTGCATGGATGGTTTGAGTAGCTCGTTCGACGCGGAGTCAGGTATAGTCGGCTTGCCGGCAGAGATTTGGATCAAGCACATCATCCCGTGGTGCTCGAGGAGGTGGTTCGAGGCTGATCGGCTTCGCGGCCGAATGTCTGATTCCGAAATGATTTTATGTTGCAGTTCCCTAGCTTAAAAATGTATATAGGTACTAGTACACAGGCTATCGGCAATCTTTTATATACATTAGAGTACTGCAGGTCAACACTCGAGACAGCAACATTCAATGACGGCCGCATGTTTAATTTGCAATCAAGAATGTGGCGTTGATCTGCGTCAATATAATTTGACAAAACTACTCCCAAGCCGCCTGTGGCTTTGCCCCAAATGCATGGACTTTGATGCATAATTACTTCTAACCTCAATGTAGCATTTGACATTGAAGACAAAGTCATTAGTACAAACGACTTATGTCCCACACAAATAGTCTTGTCCGGACAGCGCCAGTTGAAAACTTGCCTCCTGTTAAGCAGTTATACAGTTGGCTTGGGAGGTTTCTAGAGGGGCACCTGACTATATAATCATAGAGAAAGACCGTAGAAGATGGCGGAGAGTACAGATTACAGAGGACCTGTCTGAGGTAAATCCCGTAAATGATGTGAGTTGACGGGTAGCCAAGAGATGCAGCGCTCGCTCACCTGACTGGTTGAAGCTCAAAGACAAGAATCCCGAACCAAACATATCAAAGAGCACCTACCCATATTTTAACATGACCCTGCCAGACCTGCAGTAAATCCACACTGGAGGAGATGATGAAAATAGAGAGAGAGAGAGAAAGCACATACTGTATTTTACATTCAATAAAAAGGGAGGTAAGATTTAGAAGAGAGAAGAGCTAGAGGGCAGGAGATGATTATATAATGATAGATCAACGCAAAAAGTAAATATACCAGCGAGAATCATCATATCAACAGAATAAGTAATGGCCTACGCCTTGCAAAGAGAATCCCGGTGCACAGGGCCCTCGAAACGGAACCCCTGCCTTACAAGCCGCTGTGCCTGTGGAGGCTGGTCAGAGAAGTTGCCGACTGCTCTTTGATCAAACGATCAAACCCATTCCCCTGGTAGCGTCCTTGCTCCTAGTAGTAAGGCCAGGAGCCGCTAGTTAGTAGCTTCTTGTTCCTAGTAGCGATGCCAGGAGCCCCTAGTAGCAGCATGTTTTTTACATTTCACAAACAACTTGGACGTGATTCACAACGTTTACTGTTAGATACTGTAAGTGTGCAATCATTCAAAGGCACCTTGTCACCTGGCCAAGCGAATTCTCAGAAACATTTCGATGGTAGAACACATTAGAACACCTGAAAGCATTTCGATGCTTCCTTACAGAGCCTTACCCTTCTGTGAGCGTTCATGATTGTTCATGTATATAAGACCATGTAGCTGCAAACAACTGGTCGAAGTGCTGACTTTCCCGAGAGGAGGTTGAGGCTCTTTAGGTGTGTCAAACAGCACCAGGAGCCCCCATCGCTGGTCCTTCCTATGCAGTGTGGAAAGGACCTCACAATTGATCACAGTCACTTCTTTCCGATGTCTGAAGCTGTGGTTATATTCCCAGCTAGGCGTGAAAGAACCCACTTATGTGCACACGAAAAGGGATGAGCACCAGCTGTACATCGAAGGGAGCGAGTCTTCCGAGTCCCAGCTGTAACAAAATTGCAAAAGGTATCAGCGATGCCCTTTGCTACTAGTGGCTCCTTGTTACTAGTAGCAAGAATGCTCCTAGTAGTACGGCCAGGAGCCCCTAGTAGCGTCCTTGCTCCTAGCAGCGATGCCCTTTGCTACTAGTAGCTTCTTGTTAGCAACCATAGAGGCAGTTCCGGTATCGAACCGCGTTTGGGTCCGCTCACCTGGCCGTAGAGCTCTTCAAACACCTGTGCAATCTGTGCGTGAGTTGCATTCTCGAGTCTGGCAGTGCTTGGAATGGGTCTATCAAGTCAGTTTTGTTTCCCAAAAGTGCTTTGCACTGATGTGGGATTCTTGAGGACGAGGATGGGTCCCAGCCTCAAGCCTACAGTGACTACAGTGACTACAGCAAGCGACACCTTGTGTGCAATGGTTTCTATAGGACTTTTGGCCCTTGCACTTGCTTCGTGCCCAAAAACAGATAGAACGCGTGTACTTTCTGGTGGATGCACAGATTATCACCCTGAAGTGCCTGTTGAGGTCGGACTCAGGATCAACAGCCGCTCCATCATCACAGTTGGGGTTCTGAGATTGGGCTCACTGGAGGCACCTTTTTTGGTATCCAAAGCTTGCCTTTCCTTTTCTGAGACGACATCGCACATGTTTTTGCTGTCCACCAGCGTGTGTGTGTGTGTGTGTGTGTGTGTGTGTGTAACCCTTGGAATCATAGGGATCCTTTCGGATTGTTTTAGCTTCACAGTTGTTTTCCTTGTGCAGCAGGGGGCTGGAGTGTGCTTCAGATGTCTCCAGCCAACGAAGACGCATCTGTCGCACAGTGATATAGTTCTGGGACGCCAGAACTACGTACCTGCCTCTTTCAAACGGAATGGCACGAGGCTAAGCCCAGAACCTCACTTGCTGCAGACTTGAGCGATCGTCGTCATTTCGCCCTGTTCGTCGTCTTCGACCTTACGCTTTTGGCCTCCTTTCCTTTTAAGACCTCCAGGATTCGATGGTCCTTACTGGTTCTCTTAGGAAATGGAACCCTAGGCCGGCGTGTGGCACCGCTTTCAGTCCAGTACACCCTATCCTAAGTGTGTTTGGCCTCGTGCCAACCCGGGATGAGCCCGCAGAGTGCCTCCCGTGGACCCGTTGAACGGGGGTACGTCGTTATCTCCCCTGCCCGGAGATGTACGTGTCCGCAGCGGACAGTAGCTGGCTCATGCCACCAGAACTCCGATTTTGTCTCATCTTAGGAATTCCAAGTTGGCTCATGCCTTTACGTGACCGCAGCGGTCTAAGCAGCCAGCCGCCTCGGCAGGGCACAAGGTGACCACAGCGGTCAAAGTATTTTTGAGGTTCATTGGAACCTGTTGGGACCTTAGCCCCCTTCTCCCCCTTCCCTTCCCCCTTTCTTTCTTTGCTTCCTGGGGTTTTCCTGAATGCAACACTCAGGATCACCCCTCTCTTTCTTTGGTGTGTCCCTGGACGCTTGTTCGTAGCTGGGAACACCTGCCTTTTTCTTTTTTCTCTCCTCTCCCTTTCTCTCCCTCTCTCTTTCTTTCTTTCCTTCTCTCTCTCCTTCCTCCCTCCTTGGGTGTCCCTGGATGCTTTTGTCATAGCTGGGAACCTTCTCCTCTCTTCCTTTGGTGTGTCCTTGGACGCATGCGTCGTAGCTGGGAACACCTTCCTTTCTTTTCTCTCCTTTTTCTCGTCTCTCCCTACCCCTCCCTCTTGTCGGCACCTTAGCTTGGGATGCTACTAGGGGCTCCTGGCCTTCCTACTAGGTGTTAGGTGTTTCTTTGACGCTACTAGAGGTTCCTGGCCTTACCACTACTTGGGGACGAAGAGTCTCACACCACCTATGGCGCGGAGCTTAAAAATCTTGCCTCCCCTCGGGGAGGCGTGTGTGTGTAACCCTTGGAATCATAGGGATCCTTTCGGATTGTTTTAGCTTCACAGTTGTTTTCCTTGTGCAGCAGGGGGCTGGAGTGTGCTTCAGATGTCTCCAGCCAACGAAGACGCATCTGTCGCACAGTGATATAGTTCTGGGACGCCAGAACTACGTACCTGCCTTTTTCAAACGGAATGGCACGAGGCTAAGCCCAGAACCTCACTTGCTGCAGACTTGAGCGATCGTCATCATTTCGCCCTGTTCGTCGTCTTCGACCTTGCGCTTTTGGCCTCCTTTCCCTTTAAGACCTCCAGGATTCGATGGTCCTTAGGAAATGGAACCCTAGGCCGGCGTGTGGCACCGCTTTCAGTTCCGTACACCCTATCCTAAGTGTGTGTAGTGACAACCTGATACGCCGTTCAAGCGTGTTGACTCCTTGGAACCCGACCGATACTGATTGGCTCCAGCTGATCCCCACTGACAAAAGCTAAAGTCAAAGGCAGAAACTCTAGCTTAGCTGATACAGCCAAGACTTCCACCCCTACTAGTACAGTAATCACTCCTCATTTCAATGCCAAACAAGCCATGTGAGATCAAAGTTGCGTGTCCCTCGCTTCAGGAATCTGTGGAGCTTTCAACCTAAGGTGAAATGACGTGGACCGCGACTGAACAATTCATGTAGCACCATAGAAACAAGACCAATGTCAATAGCACCAAACATTGAGCTCGATCCTGGCCGACATGGACAGCAACAAGGTGCTTAGGGTCAGTGGAATAACATGAGATGAGCATGCAGATAGTACTGAGTGGAACTCAGGATCCCATGCAACTACTTCGTGTTATAGGAACCAAACCTTTTCACTGTGTGGCTTCGGTTTGATTCATTGATGATACTTCGAGAATTGTAGCCCTTTTTTCTTCAACTCACACAAATCTCTGCGAGAGGATGATGTGGACGTAGAGGGGTTGTTTCCCGTCGTGCTGGACCTGTGGAGCTCAAGTCTACCGAGAGTCTTCCAGCGAAGCGAACTGCGGTTCTTTTGTGGCATCCACCTTGCGACCTGGGGCGTTGACACCTTAGTTGACAGATATTATGTTGCTGTATTTGCAAATTGATCTAAAGGGGTGTGTATTACTGTATATACAACGACCTTTTTAGATGCTGTCCAAAACGTCCCCGACAGGTCTGCGTTATTTTTTGGCAACATATTTATCAACATTATTTACTTTTTTATTGGTTTCTTTCTACCCACATGTCCCCACTGTCACAGACTAAGCAACTGAAGCGTCAGCATTTCCTCGCCCAGCCCTCAAAGTGCGTAAAGGATTCTCCGATTCCAGCCTCCTCCAACAAACTGACAACTCAAATTGCCCTTGTGACCCTGACAGTGAGGCAGATGTTTGCGCATGATATACATTTCGGGGAAAGCAGGCAATTTCGCGAAAGATCTGCGAAAGTTCCGCGAGTGAGCCGTTAAAGTCCCGCTTCCGAACTTGAGCCCCCGCACTCCCTTACCTAAGCCTCCTCCAGGCCTTCCTCAAGGTTTGTCGCACAGATGCTGCAACTGACCCTAGAGTAGTGGTAGCAACCCTCAACCCGGTGCGTGGGTAATGCTGGAAGATGCCAGTCACTACGTTGAAATTACACGTGCAGTTCCAACACATGTTAACTAGACATGGCTTTAGGACCATACTTCGCGATGAGGCCGCGAAAGACCTGCAAAAGCTAATCTTTTCAGTGAAGAATGGCGGTTCCATCATGAAGTAATATTCATCAACCACCATATGGGTCACAACACGCTGATGTGTGGAACCTGTGCCATCCATTTGCGTCTTCAATTGGTTCACTCAAAAGATGTCAAAAAGCTGTTTTGCCTTTGTAGTCAGGGACAACTACAGTGGCACCATATAACTTCTGAGGCATTCCAAGAGGGCTGGTTCCAACAGAAACGTGAAGCCGATCGTGGCATTGACTTTGATCTTGGATCAATCCTGAGTGTGGACTGGGTGGACCTGAAAATGCTGACAATGATTAGTGCTTTAGCTGCATGTTTAGGGACCCTGGAGGCATGCATGGCTGTGCCATCCCATACGCTCTTGTTTTTTTCTTCAAGTAGGGTGTGGAAGGTGGCTTTGACTGGCAAATGCGTCTTTTTGCTTCAAATTTGCTGCACAGAAATTCGATGAAATCTCCAGCATTTTGACACGGATAGCATTGCCTCTGTATTCTTTGATCCCGCCAAGGCACCGTTCTATTGTCCTTTTACGTCCACCAATGCTTTCGAAGGTGCGAGGAGATGCGAGACACATGATGTGTAGTAATTACTGTAAGGATTTCGGTTCCGTGGAGTCCGTCATTTAAATTCCGAATCCATGTTTCAGATACAAGAACATTTCTGCCGCTGACCCTTTTTAGAATGTACTGGATCACTGTCGAAATAGCAGATGCCATGACCCGTTCACACGCAATAAAGGAGACCAATACAATTACGCTTCTCAAACAAACATAAGTGATACGGGGTGCCTTAAATACTTGTAGTATATAGTTATTCCGAGGATTGTCACACTTGGTGAAGTATAATATGGTGTACTGTAACTGCATAATTATGTTAATTTAATCACAGTGGCGACGGGGGGGGTTTCCCTCAGGTCATCAATTTAGAAAGGGAACTCTACTTGAAAAGCTGAGAGACCGAGACTGGGAACGTCAAACAAAACATGACGAGAGGCTTGAATCCAGGTTCAAAAACAGTAGCTTTCCAGATCTGGAAAGTTATTTTTGTTTGGAAAGTGCCATACCAGATGGTGAGATGTGGAGGCCAAGAAAGAAGGCGATAACAAAGCTTGGGCTGGGAGGTGAACCTTGGTCATTCAATGTTTGAGACTAGGATCAGTGATCAGAAGTCACTAATGATTGTGTTTTTGTGTTTTGTTTATTGTTTTTTGCATAAAGCCACTTAGCTCTTCATGGAAAATACTTCTTTGTATATAATTGTTGGTACTATCATCATCATGGTTCTGTTGTGGATACCCCTTAAAAGCCATTAAACAGATTCAACTCCTTGAGATGGTAGAGTGTTTTGTTTTACTCTTCATAGAAGTATACCACATGATTTTCTAATCATTGCAGGATACCTTCATATGACATCTCTTCAGGCATCCCCTATAATGTTTCCTAGCCCGCAGTATGTTAGGTGCATATTTATTGCTTTGCAGTCACGTGGATTTGATCTGACATGTTTTGCTTGCGCATAAGTGCCTTCACCATGGCAGGTATCAGCTGATTTGCACGCTGACAATGCGCATGTTCAGCTCTGTACATGACATCGCCTTTCAGGCACATGACTTTGGGCTGTCAGTCAATCTCAAAACACAAGATATCCAACCATGGGCATTGGCAGGTCAGTGGCAGACCAATCTCAAACCAAGTCCATGGTTTGAAAGAGTTGATAGGACGAGATGCAGTCGTTCGCCTTGTTGCGAAATGACACACATTCGGACAAGCTGGGAGGCAATGTACAAACTTGTACTGTACTTTTCTTTGAACAGGTCTCCACTCTCCACTTGTCATGTGGATTTCTGCTGCTGCACTCGGCCAGTGTTGGCCTGTGTTATGTTTTCAGGCCAGGCTCTTCCTGGACACCAAGAAATCGCGGCTTTGCAGCCGCTGGGTGACCCTAGCAGCCCTTTTGAGCTTAGCCACAGGACAGGGATCAGATTCATGTAGGAATGATGAAGCAAGTGGTCAGGGTCAGTGAGCCTTGAACCAAGACACTTCTTCAGCTTCACCTTGCGCCATCTTGTGCCCTCGCAACTCTTTTCATTCTGTAAACTTGAGCTGGATACTGAGCTCTCAAGGATTTGACACAGTGTAAAATGAAGATCCAGGAACCAAAGGAACCAAAGTAACCGAAGGAAGCGGAAACACAGAGAAAAGGAAAACGAAGCTAAGTGTCCCCCCAAATCTAGAAACCAAATGAATAGCGTGAGCTATCCTGCGTCCAGTTACTAGTAGCGAACTAGTTTCTCCCTTACTTATATAATCAAGTAGGCGCCTACTTAACAAAGTAGGAGCGGTCTTTACAAAAAGACGCCTTGTGAGGCCCTTCGACCAGAGCCTGGCGGAAACTCTTAGCACATGGCTTGGTGCGGCGAGTGGAAGTGGAGCCACTGCGGCGCATGGGCGAGGCCCGGGGATGGCTACTGCTGCAAGAGACTGTGGAGCTTTTGCACCAGGAGCCGAAGACAGCAGGATATCCGTGTAGGTCCGTATGCATTGGAGTCTTTTTTGTGAGCGAGATGAGATAAGTAATTCCTCGCACAATGGGGTACAACAAAGAACCGTCGCTGTGGCCGCGCAAGAACCGGGTAAGTAGAGACCTAAGCCAACAGTTACGACATGAGAAACATATACAGACATTGTGGTAGTCGACACTCAGCGTTTCACGGCAAGTCCACTTCTTTCCTCTCTTTTTGAATCATGGGGAAAGGATCCGGTAGAAGAGCTTCTGACTGCTGCCAACTCGGTTTGAGGCGCAATTGCAAGGGATTTGCTGACGCTTGTGATGCCAGGAGGTTAGCGGCAAAGTTCTGAGCGAAATGATCTCTCGAATACTGGCTTTCCGTGATTGTCAGCAGGTTCCTCATTGCACTGAGTACTTACATTTTGTTTCCGCTTTGAACAGGAATGTCTCACATCACACTCCCTTAATTGCATGCTACTAGTACGGTCACAAACAAGATCGCATATTCCGCCTTTGCTTTCGCTCCGCTCTAGAAGCCCGGAGGAGATCTTGGAGACCAAGAGGTTGTCTTTACCTTTCACATACCATCATCTATTGACAGTGGTGATCATGGTGAACCTCAGTTTGCTTTCTTATGGCTCCGCCTTGTCCACAACTTGCCTTGCGCCTCCAATCTTCTTCCTGGTGGCCATCTTCTTCTTTGGTATGATGGAGGTGTCTTGGTGGAAAGCAGCACTGGTTTGGGAGGCCAATTGAAAGCAGAGCTGTCTTTTGGGGGCGGGCGCTTACCTTTCACACCAGTCGTTTTGCCCTGGCAAGGGTTTTATGTTATGGAACCCTAAGTGTTGTTCAAACAAGTATTGATCTGAATCTCACAAGGCAAATGTATACAAATGTGTTCAACAGCTGCAGAGCCAAGCGGAGGTGTCAGTTCAACTCTGGGATCCCTTGAGCGACGAATCAAGTTTGCCAGTGCAGAGACTTACCCAGGACTTATGTGCTTCAGTAACTTGGACTTTGGCTATTCTGAATCTCTGAAGCCTACTTTTGGAAGGAATCTAGAAGAAGTTGGCATCCCCTTCGTCATTCTTCCAGCGATTGCATTCACTGAATTGGATTGATGGGTTCTCATCGGTTTCACAGTTTCACCTCCCTAGAACTTACAGGATGACCGGTGAGCCCAATTTTCAGGAACGTCGAGAGTGAAGAACTCTGAATCTATCCACAAAAGTGGCCTCAACGAGGTATGCCAAAAGAGGTTGTGTTGCCACCAGAAGAACGCCCGGAAGCCTTGTTGGCCCAAGAACACCCGGAAGCCTTGTTGGCCCAATGTTACTGTGTTCCCCAACAATGAGCAACGGATCCCTGCCATCCCCTTCCTCCAGGAGTTTCTTTGGTCCATGCATGCTCTCATCTACTACGAGCACGATGGGCCTGACGAGAAATGGCAAAGTGATTTGCGGGAGGAATCCAGTGCGCCTTGTGCCTTCCTGCTCTGAGTTTGATTGTCTCCAGAACTCCATGGTACTACTAGGAAGGTGTTGAAATTTGGCGGTGCCCGTTGAGGGCATTCTTGGATCATCGCTCGATGGACCATCCTTTCGGAATGCACTGGTGGAAGAGTCTTTTTTAACCGCAAAGACTGCGGTGAAATTCCACTCGAGACGTCGCTCCAAAGTATTTGAGTGAATCACTGGTGCGAAAACGATAGAATGACGATGTCGATCCCAGTCCCTGGCTTCTGACCAGCTTGGTCAGCATACGCTGTTTTCAGCTTCGGAAAAATCAAGATACTTTTGCATATTCTTACAACTCTTGCAGCTTGAAGATGCTTGAAGCAGAGCCAATTTTAAGCACTTTCGCTGAGGAATACTCCTGAAAGTGGACCGTCCCAGCCTCCCATGGAAATGTCGCCTGGGCCTTGTTCGGGTGGGGCATTTTGGACGTCAAAGGCTCCGTGTCCGCGAATTCCTCACTTGTTGAGCAGGCGTTCCTCCCTTTTCTGTTCGTTGGGCAAGAACAATTAAGCTGCTACAACCTTTGCTGTTAAGCTTCTTCAATGTATGCGTCATGGCGTTCGCAAGACACTGTTCTTGCATTCTTGTAGTTTTGGCTTGCCGCAATCCTGCGGGACAAGCAGGAGAGTGCAGAAGGGGTTCCAGCAGGACAGCATGCACCAGACTAGACCATATTTTTGAAAGAGATCTATTTTGTAGTCAGAATGGCTGCACGAAGTCAGTGGAGTCTCTAGTTACAGAGAGAAAACGTACAGCTAGGTTACAGGTTTGCCTTGAATTCATTCCTTTGCTAGAACAGGATTTCTTTGCTCAGTTCTTTCAGGTCAATCCCAAATCAAATGTCCTCATATGGCGAGGATGTCCTCTTCGAGGTGAGAGACGTTCAATATCATTCAATTGTGATCTCCGTGGTGGTCCACTCAAGCTGATCTCTCATCTCTGTGGTCCGAGACTTCCACCTTTTCCGCTTTAAAGGAGTTTTGATCTGACTTTAGACAGAGAAAGCTTCGACGCCTTTGCAGTTCTGCATGCAGCGTGGGTCACCTAGGGCTTGGGGAGCCGCATCGACTGAGGGTATCGGTATTTGCATTGTCAAGCAGGTCAGTTCACCAATACACTCAAGGGGATGCCTCTCCAATACTTGGAATATGCAAATCTTTACACTTTACACCCAAGAATTCAAAAAATATGCAACGCACCTCATTGAGCAAGTGAGCCGCTCAATAATAGATATAATAGGAATCCCTCAAGCAGTCAATCTTGTGGGGACTTGCATTGGTCAGAATAGATTCAATCAATAGATCTCATTCTGACAGACTGGAAGACCATGTCTCCTTTAAGACTGTACACCTGTGAACCAGCTGATTATTCCCAAACAACTTAGCCCACATAGTTCCTCCTGAGTTCTACATAGCAGAGTATGCAGGTTTGGAGCAATGGGCGCCGGTACGCCATCGGCCGTGAGGCAGTGGGGCATCATTTTTGGGGATTAGTCTATTGGGTGCCCGACAGAGCCTGAAGTCATTGCTTGATTTTGTTTGTGTACTGGAGCCCCTATGATACGTGTTTCCTTTTCTGGCATGCCATCCTGTCATCTTCACCTGCAAGAACATTGCCCGAAGTGCCAGCTAGCTTCAAGACTAGTGTCCGGGCTGGTGCCTTATCCTGTGGGCCACCTTGGCCCAAAACACAGGTGCCTGTATATAGAACAAACAAAAGGCAAACATAACGTCTCAGTCTCAAGCGTGTGCTTTGCCCAAGTTGTTGCAAGGGTGATCCCGACGACGCTGATCATGATCAACGCATGGCAGTACCTTTGCGCGTGCTGCCAGAAGCTCTGACATATCAATCACATTGTCAGCTGGTCATGTCAAGTGCAATCGTAGTGGGACAGGCTATGAAAGCCAGATCATTGTGATGCAGCAACACAAACCGATTCTGCACTTGCTTCACAGTATAATTACTTGGTTCAAGGTTACCTTGGGCAAGCTTTTTGTCTGCAAACGGCAAGCCTAGGCAACTACTGGCGAATGAAGCACGCAGCAGACAAAGACGACGCCAGCGCGAAGAGGATGGGCTCAGATGATCGGTCAAGGCTCTATGACCGAACAGAATATAAACATACCCGTATAGACTTATAGAAAAGGACTTGACTGGCGATGGCCTCCAACCTAATGGTGATGGCCTCCATCCTACTAGCGATGGCCTCCATCCTACTAACGATGGCCTCCAACCTAATAGCGATGGCCTCCATCCTACTGTAATAGCAATGACTATACATTCTTTTGGAAGTCCACAATGTAATGACTTGTGAACGAGCCTCAGCATGCTGTACAGTGTGCCTTGTTGATACGTCAGTGAACATGGTGGCACACACACACACATGGAATATTACTTACTGCTAGGCGCCAGTAAGATTCCAGAGCATGTTGCTATGATACCCGCATGAGTATTTCTAACACCTTTTGGGATGTTAGCACACGGTCGACAACGAAGTGGTTCACTTTGTCCAAACTAGTGTTTGCAGGAAGAGAGGGAGCAGGAGCCAGAAATGCTCCAGGCACTGAAGTCTGTGACTTTGCATTTTCCTTTTTTTTGGGGGGGTAGGCCGCTAGTAGAAGAGGTGTAGCTAGTAGAAGAGAGGTAGCTAGTAGCTTAAGTAACTACTAGCTACTGGACGCAGGATAGCTCACGCTTCTTCAAGGAAGCTCCCTCCGCCTGAGGGGTTGAAGAAGCGCTCGCACGGTTCCTAAATTTTTAGGGAAACTTATATAACTTGTTTTGACAGAATGCTGTTAGTGCTTTTGATTTATATAATGTGTATAGTAATAGTAATGCGGGTAGTAATGTACGCAGGACCGGGATGATGAATGTATTCTCTTACTTCTGGATGAGCCTTGCAGGTCGCAGAGCTTTGGGAGGACGATGAGGCTCAGTATCATCCACACAATTCTGGCACAGTGCAAAGCCCTCATTCCTGGCCAGCTTTTTTGGAACGACAACAAGCACGCTGCAGGAAGAGCTTGGACAAAAAGAGATAGAAACACGGAAGAGAGGGAAGTGAGTTTTGGCTTGCCTCCATGGGGCCCCAAATCCACACGGGTTGCATAGAAGACATTCTGCTGTGGTCTATGTGGTCCAGTTTGCGAGGAGGGGTGATAAGGCGCCAGACATTTGACTTGACAGGAGGCATGGGAATGGGGAGATGAAGATATGGATTTGGCCTGGCAGCCTGAGTCGGTGATGAGACCAGGAACATTTGTGTCAGATGAGGACCAGCATACATGACCGATGGAACCAACAGTCAAGTCCCTCAAGATGGGAACACTTATTGTTTGCATTGTGTTCCCCCTTGTCCTTTCACGGAGAACTTCGTTTGATTAGACCGTGGAGTGAACTTAGGAGATGGAGGGTGAGCCTCCACAGACGCGGCATGACAATGACATGCGCGATGTCGAGGTGGCGCCGCTGCATGTATTTTACAGCAGCAGCGGTTCGTAAGGGGCAAATCGAGATGTTTTGCCATTCCTCACCTTCCTACTCCCCTTCTTAGCGGCCCCACCAATATAAGCAAGATCATTCCCGCTGCAATGCACCGATCTGAGCAGGGGCCTTCTGCTTTTTTTTGGGACTGGCTTGCATTGGCATCACTGGACCGCCAGGTTGAAGACGTACGAATGCTGTAAGGTGCAACCTTTGGGTGCGCCGCAAGAAGAACCTGACGTGTTATAGTTATATTTAATTATATACATAAATATATACATAACCATTATGAAAGCACGTGCTTCGTTCATAAACAGGTCAAACAGGTGACCAAGACGTACAAGCAAAGTAACTAGACAAATCATGAGCTTGAGTTAAGTATGTACATGAAAGGGCAGCTTTTGTGTTTGCAAGTTGAATCGTTTTGAATCACCCCAGTTACTGTAGGTTAAAGTTTCTCTTTGTACGGGTGTGGGGACCGACACTCCCAAGCGCTGCAGCCAGGCCGGCAGAGTCAACGCGCAGCAATGCAAGATCTGAGTGTTGGACCGTCTTAGACCACTTGGAACATAGTTTAAACAACAAAAGCTTGATTTCTTTATAGACGTTCATGTATTATGACTTCTGGCTTAGGCCTGTTTTACTTCCAGAACCTTGGAGAATGCATCCTGTGCGCTGTCTGCTTATGGGGTGTGAGTTTCACGCATCGATATCCACAGGTTCCGCTCTGCAACGAATTTTAAATTTAGGTCCTTCTAGGAAACAGCATTTCTGCAAGCGGCAGCATGGCACGGTTCATCCGATGACACCATTGAAAGGACATGGGCACATGACTCCATTTTAGACAATATTAAGTTTCTCTAAAAATCTAGGAACCAAATGAATAGTGCGTGAGCTGTCCTGCGTTCAGTAGCGCTAGTAGTGCACTAGTAAGGTAGTAGCTACCTCTCACTACTAGCTAACTACATACCTAGCTAACCTACCTCAACTCTACGGCCTACCCCCCTGGGCTTTAAAAAAGAAAACATAAATGAATAAATAACAAGATAAATTAAACAAACACATATATTTAGTATTAGGAGAGAGGAACGGGCAAAAAAAGGCCCTGTCAAAATGTCTGAGCGTTTTTTAAATGCAACATCCCTAGTTTCCCTCAAAGCACTTTGCTGGTCCTTTGATGAGACAAGCTTTGCTGGTCCAGCTAGCATTCTAACGATCAATGATTCCTCCGGATGTATCTGACTACTCCTGCCATAGCTGACCCGCCGCGACTGCAAGATGATGAGATGGTTGCTGGATTCTTGTCACTAGAAAAACAATTGCACTCTCTGCTTTGTCAGATAGCTTTGGGCTATTTAGATGAGTTGTCAAGAGCTTTGCATGAAAAGGTGATTTCTTCGTCCTTCATACATAAGGGAGGATTGCTTGAGAAGGCCCAGCCCAGACACATCTTGCCAAGTTTTCCCTTGAGCTGAGGGTAGGCAAGTAGGCTTGCTGAGGTACTGCCATCGATTGCGGTAGTCCCACATGAGGATACGAACTTTTCAACGTTTGCGTTTTTGGGCTTCCGAATGGAGAGTCTTGGGAGGCCCACAAAAATGAGCCACGATACAATCTGTGTATTATATACTTCATTATGCTTATATATATATAATATATGTATTATGTTTCCGAATGCGCAACTCATTGCGCTGACTGGATCATGGCCGTAGGGAAGAGTCACAACCGTTGGGGCCCTTCCTCCAAAATGTATCCACAGAGATCAAAAAGTCACAACTGCAAG